GGAGCAGCGGGTGGCAGGAGAGGTCTGCGCGCCATGTGGGACCCTTCTCTGGTGGCTGGGGAGCAGCCAGGGATCGAACCTGCGCCGCAGAGGCCGCGGGCAGCTTCGCAACCCAGCGCTCAACCGCTGCGCCACCGGGGAGGCCCTACAACCACTCTTGGGACCATTTTCTGTGTTAGTCAGAATTCAATAAACAGAAACCATAACAGCTATCTTAACTGAAAAAAAAAATGAATATAAAGTTATTGGAGCTATCATAGGTATTGAGGAATTGAAAGTAGTAACTGCAAGAAGTAAATGGGGAAATAAAGGGTCAAGGTTGGAATTATTGGGATCAAGCAAACACTGGTAGGAGCAACCTTAGAGAGCTGGAACTAAGGCCCTGTGGAGAACATGTGCCTAACTTAAAATGAATTAGCTCAGAGGCATGGCCTCTGTAATACTGGCACTTAGAACTTGAGGAGGGGCACTGACTACTGGTATCTGTGTCTCAACGGATTGAGAAAATTTGTTCTGATGGAGAGAAGTCCAAAGCTGGAACTACTGCTGCTGGTATAAACTGTTGCCTGGGTGAAACTGACAGAAACAGGAAGTGAACAGGAAGAAGCAAGTCCCTTGTCTTCCAAAGGAAAAATGTGAACTGCAGAGTCTTAGGCTAGTACTACAAAGCAGAGCAAAGACTGATGGATTGGAAGGCAAGCAACAATGTCCTTATAACGAGCAGAGTTAGACAATTACCCAGATTACATACCAAAGGATGAGGATGAGGCAGGAGTCTCAGACATTTCACAGGTTTCTAGGGTAAGTAACTAAATTGGGAACTTGTAATTGGTGTATTGAATGGACTCACCACCTGAATTGCTGGAAATAGCTTATTTTCCCCCTGTTATAACTGGCGCTGAAGCCAAAGACTGTTACAGGTGTTGCCCCCTGGAGAGGTGTGCTGGTGAGGATGTATAGCCCCAGGAAAAACGCAAAGAAAGTATGGGGGGAGGGTGGAGACTTTGATAAGAAATATAAGGGACTACAGAAGGAGCCCCCAGGATTCAGTGTTCAGGATTCAGCTTTCTGAATTTCAGCGTTTTCGTATCTTCAGCGATTTTGGGGTCAGTGATTTCTGACCCCACCATGCTCATTTTCCAGAAGGCTGTTGCGGGCCACTGAAGGATGTGGCGAGGCTTCTAGCAGCCAATATCAGAAAGAAAAGTTCCGAGGCCTTGCAAGTAGCCAAACGACTGAAACTATTCCCAGTTTTGCTGCTGTTATAGCCTGACAGGGAAGACAAAGACCTGGAGCCGAGCGCCTTTCTGAGCTGCGTAAGCATGGACATTTTTAGGTAGTTCAGCTGCTGCAGCTGCTGTTTTGAGTGTCACTTGTCTGGGGCTGTGCTGGGGCATCTCAGCAACTCCAGTGAGCATCTCCTGTTGTGTCTTCTGCTGTCTTTGTGAATTGGAACCTGGCCTATAGTCTGGCTGCCACAGGCTCCAGGTCCGCAGTGGTGGGAAGATGCCATCTTGGGAGTGTTTGTCTTTAGGACAAACACTGGACATGGCTTTGGGTGAGGTAAATAGCCATTTGTGGCCTCAGTAACTCTTTTTTAAATAAATTCCATTATTGTTCTCTATACCTGAGTAGTCTTAGAATTGTGCGCGCAGGTAAAGAACTCAGATGGTGACTGCTAAACTATTTGGGCACTGTCCTTGGCCAGTTTTAGTGCCCTTGCTGCCCTGTATCACTAGTGTTGTCTGAAATGTGTGGTGTTGAGCTGCTCTCTACTTCCCATTAAAACCATCAGACCTCCTTCAACATTTTTGCAGGAAGATTTTCTCAATGAAGGAAGCAGAATACTGCTTCACATTCTGGTGCAGAGTCCTTTATCCATCTCAGCACATTTTCCCCATTGGCTTTTCTGCATCCATGTAGATTTTCCATAAGACTATAATTAAAGGTCTTTCCCCCCTACTAATCTAATGTTAATCTGATTGATTGACCTTTCCCAAAATAACCTAGAGTGATAGGCAGAACTTTCCTCCCCACCCTTATACCTATGAAAGAAGGTAGCACACACACCACAGCAGGGAACTTACTCAGCTCCCCAAACATACATTTCTTTTTGCTCAAACATTTCTTTCTCTCCCAAAGTCTGTATTCTACAGATTTTTTTCCTCTTTCTTTCAAGAAGTTTGGAGCCTTGCTGACTCCTTCTGAGTGACTTTTGATAGCTCCCCTGAATCTTCCAATTCCTCACCCTTTTACCCCACAAAGCAGTTCAGGTCAGGTTCCCAGCACACAACTCAATGCAGAACAAAAGGAATACTGATTCACTTGTCAGTGTGTGTGTGTGTTTGTATGTGTGTGCATGTGTGTGTGTGATTTTCATTCTAGGGGTCTTCATGAATTTCTTGTAAATGAATATAGGTATTTTCCTCAAGTGATTGTCTCTTCCCATCTCCTCAGAAGAAAAAAAGTTTATCTTCTCCCTAAATCACCAGTAAGTATATCTTTTCTCACTTAAAGCATTCCTCTTGTGTTTCCAGCTACCTTATAAGCTTGAGTTGTTACACATTTTTATATTCTGTATAGTACCTAATAACTTTGCCAACATTTATAGAAGGGATCAGTGGGTAGGAAGGATGGATAACATTTTGATGAAAGTTGAGAGGATTTTCAGGAAGATCCTACTTATTTCCTTTAATTTTTGACCTTTATCTTCAACAAACTAAACAAATCCCAGTAAAGAGTTTCCACCTTTATTGTATATCATCAGCGTTGGTCACAGTATTCAACACGTTTTAGTAGACTATTTAGCATGCATGTATTATTTGTATCTTTCATTGCCTCTATTAGTTAGAGGTTGGGTTGGGTTGCTGGTACCAAAGACTTGATGGCAATGGCTTAAAATAATTTATTTTCTCATGTAAAAGAAGTCCAGAGGTAGGTAGTTCAGGGCTAGTGTAGAAATTAGAGAAGCTATCAGGATCCAAGTTTCTTCAGGCTCACCACTCCCCCTTCCTGAGCACATAGCTTCCATGTTCAAAGTACTACTGCAGTGGCAGAGAGCTTCTGGAGCTCCAGTTCTTGTTTACTTCCAGTCTAAACAAGAAAAAAATGGAAGGGCAAAGACAAAAGGCAAAAGAAGTCTGTGGCAAAAGCCTATGCAAACACTTTTATTTATACCGCATTGGCTAGAATTTAGTTACATGGTCATACCTAAGGCACACTAGAGATAGAAAAATGCATTCTTTAAATACAACTTTTTTATGCCCCTTGATTTCTGTTACTAAGCAGAAGGGAAGAATGACTACCGGGTAGGCAACTAGCACTTCCTGCCACAGTTCCTTTTGGATTTTCTGTTCATGATGTCCCAGTGCTTGGCATTAAGTTGTCCTTAGAATCAATGAATAAAACATTTTTAGATAAATCAAGCAGTTCATACCATGTTGGGTTTTTTAAATTAATTGACTTTATATGTAGAGCAGTTTTAAGTTCACATAAAATTCAAACAGAAAGTACAGAGTGTTCCCATATACTTTCTCCTCTCCCCTGATTCCATATTCGTAACATCTTGTACTGGTGCAGTACATTTGTTAGAATTAATGAAACAATATTGATATATTATTACTAACTAAGGTCCATAGTTTACATTAGGGCTCACTCTCTGTGTTGCACAGTTCTATGGGTTTTGACAGAAGTAGAGTGTCATAAATCTACCATTAAGGTATCAAGGTATCATACAGAATAGTCTCATTGCTCTAAAAAATCCTCTATGGTCTACCTAGTCCCCCTTCCCTTCTTCCTCTGGACCCCCCGGCATGCGCTGGTCTTTTTACTCTTTTCATCATTTTGCCTTTTCCAGAATGTCACATCGTCAGAATCACACAATCACACATATTCTCAGACTGGCTTCTTTTACTTAGCAATATGTATATACAGTTCCTCCATATCTTTGGTGACTTGACAGATCATTTATTTTCATCACTAAAATATTCCATATCATGGATGCATCAGAGTTTTGTTATCTATTCACCTGTTAAAGAACATCTTCATTGCTTCCAACTTATGTCTAAAGCTGCTATAAAAATCATGTGAAGTTTTTTGTGTAGACCTAAGTTTTTGATGCATTTGGATAAATACCTTAAGTGCACGATAGCAGAATTGAATGTTAAAACTATGTTGTCACAGTTTGTAGGAAACTGACTATTAGAAATGACTTTACCAGCATTTAGTGTTGCTAGTGTCTGAATTTTAGCCATTTTAAGAGATGTAAACTGATATATCATTATTGTTTTAGTTTGCAATTCTCTAGAGACCTATCAGGCTGACCATTTTTCATATGTTTGTTTGGACATCATATATTTTCTTCAGTGAGGTGTCTATTCATATCTTTCATCCACTTTCTAATGTGGTCTTTTATTGTTGCATTTTGAAAGTTCTTTGTATAGTATGGAAATATTTTTTTATTAGATTTGCATCTTGCAGATATTTCCTCCCAATTTTTGGTTTGTCTTTTTATTCATCTAATGATTTTTTGGGGGCATAAAGTTGTTCACCATATTTTCTAGTTTCTTAATTTTGGTTTGTCCTCCTTTTTAGTCCTAGTGTTACTGATTTATTGCTATTTCTCTTTTACCTGGACCAATCTCACAGAACTGTTTTATCAGTTTTTCCAAAGTTCAGAATTAATTTTTCTGATATATTAAGCGTATATATCTGCAAGATGCAATCACTGTAGTCCCCTTTGCTCTTTCCTCCCCTGTTTTGATCCCTCTCCCTCCACCTCACCTGCAGAAAGTCTCTGATTTAAAGTTGCCTGCTAATTGTGTTTGTTTGCTTATTTATTTATTATTATTAACATTATTTCCTGATCCCTTACTTAATTCCCCTATATCCCTCCTATAAATAAAACCATCCAATAATCTTTCTTTTTCCTTCTGGCTTATTTCACTGAGCATGGTGCCCTTTTAATGGAGACTTTTTTACCCCCCCCCCTTTTTTTTCAGGTGTTGCAAGAGTGGGGAGATAAATATGCAAGGGATTAATCCTGTACAATTGCTGAAAATTTCCTCCTTGTGGGTATTTTTCTAATGTAACTTACAACCCTTTTTTCCTGTATTGGAAGCAATATAATGTAGAGGATGAGGGCAACAGTTTTTGCAATCAGATATATTAAGTCCTGATTCCCAGCTTCAATGCTGACTTTGAGTTACCTTGACAAAATTATTTAACCTTTCTCCATTTTATGTGAAATGGCACTAATAATAGTACTGCCTCCTGGGGCAGTTATGAGGATTAAATAAATTAAAATGTGTGAAATACTTTGTAAAGTTCCCAGCACACTGTGAGCACACAGCCAACAAATGCAGCTATTATTACACCTTACCTGGTTATTTATGCACATCTCATTTCTCCTGTTTTATAAATTCCATGACAAAGTTACAGCACACAACACACATAAGCTTCCTCACACAAAATAAGACTGCTAATATAACATATAATAAAGATTGCTAATAAAAACTGGCTTGATGATCGATTTCATACATAAATGAAAGGTATTGTGGTTATTGTTACAAAAGATGGCATAAGTTATTATAATGGCTTTAGGTTAGGCAAAGGATAAAATACATTGCTAATGAGGAATACATTATTAAAGGTCTCCTATTTACCTCCATCAACTAATAGTTAAGAAAATTAATGTAGAGAAACACTCCTCCAGCTAATTAATGACAGATGTTCCACAATGCATTTGTGAGGATTACAAAGCCTTCTTCCTTTAAAACCCAAACCAACATGCACACAAACAAAAACAAAAATACTACTTTTCTGAAGAAACGCTAAATCTTTCCCATTTTTATCTCCTTTGTTCAGCAGTGGAAAAACTGGGGCGACAACAGCAGCCCTGGCTGCTTCCGTACAAGATGGCGCCACCCACTTGTACATCCCAGCCGGGGTTACGTCCTCCTAGGCTGTCGCGGGACCGGAAGTGGTTTCTTCCCTAGTGGATCCGGGTGGGTGTGCGCAGGTGGTCACGGAGGTTCCAGTTCTCCAGCGTGAAGCGCAGCAGGTGTTCGGCTTGAGTCGGAGGCCGCAGGCAGGTGAGGATCAGGAACCCGCGACGCCTTTCACCAGATCGTACGAGGGGCGGATAGGGCTTCCAGTGCGGATCGAAGAGAGGGACCGTGGGGCTTGGGATGCCACCTTGTGTGGGAGCGACTGACTGCGGGGACCCAGCCGTCTCCGAGCGACTTGGCCCTGCCCCTCTCCCCGCCCCCGGGGCCTGCGGGGCCTCCTGGGCACCCTCGCCCTGGGCGCGGGCGGTTCAGCACTCGGGTCCCGAAGGAGAGCTGTCACCCTCTCCCCGGCTGCACGCGGATCCCCTTCTCTTTAGGAGCACTTATCACACCCCTATGGCTGCTTGACCCGTCACTTAAGGAGGCACCACCCCCCAGTACCTGTTAACTCCTCGGGCGCAGCTGGTTTCGGGGCGTCCGCGGTCACAGTTTGCTCCCCCTCCATTCGTGGGGACGTGCCCTCCCCCACTGTTAACACCTCTTTTCTCCCAGACCACACCCGAGGCTCTGGGCCTAGCTAGGAACCGCCTCTCTTTAGGCATCTCGGTTTATATCCAACCTGGAACTTTAATCATTATTTATTACAAAATTGATGCCTGCTCATTAAAATATAAGCAAACCCAAACCTTTATAAGATTTAGATGTGCAAACTCCCTTAGGTAGCCATTCCTTGAAAACATTAATTTATTTATATCGTGATTTTAAAGTTGTATTACAAGGCAAGAAAGAACTGCACTGAGAGGTTTTGCTCATTATCAGAATTAGGAAGTGAGGGAGAAAAGAGGTTTAATGGGGGGTGGGGGAGGAAAATAATGATTTATTTGGGTCCAGTTGAGCTTGATTGAAAATGTATTATTTTAGTTACAGTGAATTGGTACAATCTTGTAAAGCAGTCATGTAAAAAAATAGATCTTCTTTGACTATCTCCTTTTTCTTTTCTTTTTTAATCTTCCGGCAAAATAATTATCAGTTTGTGTTGTATTTTTCTTTGCATTTATTGACAAGTGTTTGTACATATGATATAGGTATATAAGACTTTGTGTTACAGTTTTACAAATATGTATTTCATAAATGTGGCACATTATACACAGCAACTTAACCTTTCATGCTTAAAAATGGATCTTGGAACTTTTTCTTTGGTAGAGATTCTACCTTATTCTTCTTTTGTTCTGTAAATTCCATAATATGTCAAGACTTCATAATATGTAAGATTACATAGATTAACTACAGGATTTCACTGTTAAGACACAGTGTGTTAGAAAACAGCCTTCCACATGTGTCTGTGTGCCTATGTGAGCATTTCTGCAGGTGGAATTGCTGGGAAGAAGGGTTTGGACCTTTAATGCCAAATTATCCACCAGTAGGATATAATAATGTACATTTCCCCACACTGTTTTAAAAACATTTGATAGTAGCAGTATGTTTTATTTTTTACAAATCTGATAGATGGAAAATGATTCTCATTGGTATTTTGATTTTGATTTGTATTTCTTTTTGAAATGGGACAAACCCTGGTAACCAGGGTTGATCCAGTTGGTGGGTCCTCACCTTCATGCTTAAGAATGTAGGCCTCAACCCAAAAGCAGGCACCTGGAAAGAAATAACAATAAAAGGGTTTAGTTACATATAGAGTAAAGGGAGAACAGAGAGCCAGAGAGAGAGGGAGAGGATGAATTTCTTGGTTGCCACGTGCTCAGATGCTATTTGTGAGCAGAGATGAAGATCTAAGCTGAAGCCTCGGTGAAGCTGCCAGAGGCAAGCTGGTGCCTTCTCCAGTGGTGGTCCTTCTCACCAGCAGTTTAACTGCCAAAGCACCAACAGTTTAACTGTCAAAGTACCAGCCCCACCCCTATTTCCTATCAGCCTCTGAAGGACATCAGGGGGACATCAGTGTCCAGAAAGCTTGACCTTCTATCACACAGTTATCTCCCATTGAATGGGAGATTGCTCCTCTACTGGCATTTATGTTTTCATGGTTGTTGTCTATTTGTATTTCCTCTTTTGAAAAATGTCTCATTTCTTTTTTTTTTTTTTTAAAGATTTGTTCATTTATGCATACAAGAACTGGGGTACAGGCCAGAGGTGTGGGGGTGTGTGTGAGAGGATTCACCAGAGACAGAGTGGGGAACAGAACAGGTGGATAGGCTGAAATACACTACTGAGGGAAGCCGCGGGCGAATCAGGAGAAGTCTGCTGCGTCAGGTGGGTAGCTCCCTAGTTGGGGATGGATCTCGTTGTGTTGCAGTGGCTGCGAATAGCTTCATAGGTTGCGTCTTAACCCCTTGCAACACCGGGGAAGCCCCAAATGTCTCATTTCTATTGGGTTTTTAAAAAAATATTAGTAGTGTTTTGTATATTCTTGATATTAATCTTTTGTCATGTATGAGTTTTAAATATTTATTCCAAACATAGTTCATTTTAAAGTTGTTGCTTGTTTTTAAAAACAAGCATGGCATCTTTGCTGAACCAGTGTTTAAAATTTGAGTTTTAACCGTTATCAGTCTTTTTACTGTATTTTGATTTTTGTGGTTATTCCTTACCCCAGTGGTTTGCAAATGGGAGATGTTTTGCCTTCTACGGGCCTTTTGGCAAAGTCTGGACACTTTACTGGTTATCCACTTGGAGTGGTGGTGCTAAAATTTGCAGCTGGTAGGCAGAAGGCAGGAATGCTGCTAACTGTCCTACAATGCCCAGGCCTACCCCACACAATAAAGAATTTTTCTGGCCCAAAATATCAATAGTGCTAAGGTTGAAAAACCCTGATTTACATTGAGACAGAGCAGGATTTTTTTTTTAATAAGTTTGAGTGTTTTAAAAATGTGCCTGTGTATAGTATGCATAATTACTGTTTTTCAAAGTGCCACTCAGAAAAGCCAGTCCATTCTTAATGCATTAATCTGAAATGCCACCTTTATCAAGTACTAATTTCTCTTACTCAGTCTTACTCAGTGTTTCTGAACTCTGTTCTCTGGCCTAATTTTCCATTTTGCTGGACAAAACCACAACATCCTATATTAAATATATGTGATAGTTTGATATCTAGTAAGGTAAATACTCCCTGGTGACCTATTATTTCATTACAAGGGATAGACTTTATCAGCTCACAAACTCATTCTTTCAAAAACAGTATATTTTTGCGTTCTGAGCTTCTTTTCCTGATTAATTTTAGAACCAACCTGTCAAATAGTTCTTTTTTAAAGTGGCTTTATTGAGATGTAATTCCACAACATACAGTTTTTTATCTAAAGTTTACAATTCAGGACATCCCTGGTGGCACAAGGGGTTAAGATTCACCACTATGAAGCTATCAACAGCAACTGCAGCACTAGTTCAATCCCGGCCCAGGGAGCTGACCCACACGGCGCAGCAGACCTCTCCTGTCTTGCCTGCTGCTCCCTCAGCAGTGTATTTCAGTAGATCTGCCTGCTTTGCTCCCAACTCTGTCTCTAGTGAATCCTCTCACACCCCCACACCTCTGGCCTACATCCCAGCTCTGCATGCATAAATAAATAAAATAAATCTTTTTTCTTTTTCTTTTTTTTTTTTTTGAAAGATTTATTTATTTATTTATACAAGCACTGGGTATAGTGAGATGCGCGGGAGGGTGAGAGAATTCGCCAGAGCCAGAGCCGGGGAACAGAACAGACAGACTGATGAAATACACTGCTGAGGGGAGCAGCGGGCGTGGCAGGAGAGGTCTGCGCGCCATGTGGAATCCTCGCCGGTGGCCAGTGGGGATTGAACCAGCGCTGCAGAGGCTGTGGGCAGCTTCGCAGCCCAGCGTTCAACCACTGCCCCACAGGGGAGGCCCAAATCTTTTTTCTTTTTAAAAAAGACCTTATTTCCAAATAAAATTACATTCACAAGTAGTCTTAAGATGAGTTAAGACTTCAACATATTTAGGGGGGACACAATTCAACGCATAACATTATACATATACTACATTGATCCATTCATCATCTGATGAACACTTGGGTTGTTTTCAGTTTTTGGCTATTATTAATAATGCTGCTATAAATTCTTGTGTGACAAAAGTTTTCATTTCTCTTGGTTATATAACCAGGAGTAGGTCGTTTGACAAACTGCCAGAATATTTTCTAAAGCAGCTGTACCATTTTATATTACTTTTTACATACCAGTAATGTATGAGAGTTCTAATTTCCTTTTATTACAGGCACACCTGTGGGAGATTGCAGTTTGGTTCTGGACCACCACAGTCAAGTCAGTCACATGAATTTTTTGGTTTTCCAGTGCTTATAAAAATCATATCTACACTCTATTGTTAAGTGTACAATAGCTTTATATCTTTTAAAATGTACATCCTTATTAAATGTGGTACAGACACAGGAAGTGAGCACATGCTATTGCAAAGATGATGATGATGGGTTTACTCAATACAGTTTGTAAAAACTGAAGAATCTTTGAAGTGCAATAAAGGGAAGCACAGTAAATAACGAGGCACTTATTACCGGTCTTTTTGACTAGAGCCATCCTAGTGGGTGACTGGTGTCTATTCTGGTTTTGATGAGCATTTCCCTGATGACTAATGATGTTGAGCATCTTTCCCTGTGTGTTTTGGCCATTTGTATATATGACTTTTGAAGAAATGTCTCTTGAAATCCTTGCCCATTTTAATTTGTTTGTCTTTTTATTATTGTGTTCTTTATATATTCCAGATACATGTCCATATCAGATATATGATTTGCAGATATTTTTCCATCCTGTAGGTTGTCTTTCCACTTTCATAATAGATAATTAATTTTTAAAACATTTTTTAAAGTTAAGTTTGCATTGGATGTATTACTTTGAGTATTTTTATTAAATAATCTTTCCTTATTGAAAATAAGTAGGATAATTATATTACCTTCTGCAGAGGGTTGTTGAAAAGGTAAAATGAGTAATGTATACATATATACATGTACAGTGTCTGGCACCTGATATGTACTCTGGAAGCAAGATATCTCTACTTGTCTAGGCTTCTGCGTCTTCAGTAAAGTTTTTTTTTAATATTGATCGTCCTTTTTTTTTTTTTTTTTTTTTTGTGGGACCCTCTCTGGTGGCCGGGGATCGAACCAGTGCTGCAGAGGCTGTGGGCAGCCTCGCAACCCAGCGCTCAACTGCTGCGCCACCAGGGGAGGCCCTGATCTTCCACTTTATACCTGGTTTTGTGTGTGTGTGGCTGCTTGGTGTAGTTATAAAACTGTGTATTTTGTCATTATGAATGGATTTTCTTCACATTTTTATGAGGGGTTTGGAATGCTGTTATTTTATATTCATCAAACTTTCAAAATTATCTTACAAGTTAAAAAACTTGTGACTTATTTTCTTGTCCCAGTGATTCTGATACAGTCATTCTGTTTAGGAACTGTGGTTCATTTTTGATCTGAATTGGATCGTTTTCCCCTCTGGCTCTACTCTTGTGAGTTGTTTTTTTTTTTTTTAATAGAGGCATGTTTTATTTATTTATTTATTTATTTATTTGTTTATTTTGTTTTTACATGCACTGGGTACAGTCAGAAGCGCAGGAGGGTGAGAGAATTCACCAGAGCCAGAGCAGGGAGCAGAGCAGGCAGAAGGACCGAAGTACACTGCTGAGGGGAGCAGCAGGTGGCAGGAGAGGCTTGCACGCCATGTGGGACCCTCCTCCGGTGGCCGGGGAGCAGCCGGGGATCGAACCGGCGCTGTAGAGGCCGCGGGCAGCTTCGCAACCCAGCGCTCAACCGCTGCGCCACCAGGGAGGCCCTCTTGTGAGTTTTTAATGGGTCTCCCTGTCTCTAGCTTTGCCCTTGCCCAGTGTAGCATCCACACTGCCACCATGGCATTCTTTGAAACATGAGTCTGACCCTCTCCCTTTATAATCTGTTATTGGCTCTCCAGTACTTGTGAGGTTTCACCTTAAGATAAAACCTAAGGTCCTTAGGTCCTCCCTGACCTCACCTGTATCTCTTCATTTCAGCATCATCTTTATTTCCTTATTTGTACATTATATTCCGGCATAATCTTGTTCAGTAGAAATATGAGAGCCCCATAAATAAGTTTTTTAGTAGCCACATTAAAAAAAATAAAAAGGAACTTTTTTATGTTTTTAACATTAGTAATTTATTTAACCCAGTTTATCCAAAATTATTTTTTTAAAAAACATTTTTTAAAGATTAATTTTGTTTATTTATGCATACAAGAACTGAGGTTTAGGCCAGAGGTGGAGAGGCGGGAAGAGGATTCACCAGACAGAGTGGGGAACAGAACAGGCAGATCTACTGAAATACACTGCTGAGGGGAGCAGCTGTGAGACAGCAGAGGTCTGCTGCAGCGTGTGGGTTAGCTACCTGGCTGGGATTGGACTTATGCCACAGTGGCTAGCGACATCTTGCTAGTGCTGAAACAACCTCTGCGCCACCAGGGAGGCCCTGTCCAAAGTATTTTTAACATAGCTTTAAAAATTCGATGTTGTATTCATAGAGAAAGTAGAGGTTACCAGGGATGGGGAAGAGGGCATGGGGAGTTAACTGCTTAATGGGTACAAAGTTTCTGTTTGGAATGATGAATACTTGGACATGGATAGTGGTAATGGTTGTAAACATTATGAATTTAGTTTATGCCACTATACTTAAAAAATGGTGAAAATGGTAAATTTTACGTTACGTATATTTGACTACAAGAAAAAGGTCACTTTAGAAATCAATATGGAAGTTATCAGTCAGATATTTTTACATTTTTCTAGTTGTAAATCTTCAAAATTCTGTATGTATTTTCTACTTGTAGTACATCTTACATTTGCTTGAACCTTTTCACTTACACATTGATGCTCTATGCCTTTCTTATCCTTGCACATACTCGTCCCCCGTCTGGAGTGCCCTTCTCCTAGCTGCCTTGTGTACTTGGAAGACCTTTGTTCCTTTTTTTTTTTTTTATAAAAAAAGATTTATTTATTTATGCATACAAGAATTGGGGTACAGGCCAGAGGTGCGGGTGGTTAGAGGATTCACCAAAGACAGTGGGAACAGAACAGGCAGATTGACCGAAATACACTGCTGAGGGGAGCAGCGGGCGAGTCAGGAGAGGTCTCCTGTGCCATGTGGGTCACCTCCCTGGCTGGGGATTGAACTCGTGCTGCAATGGCTGTGGATAGCTTCATAGGTTGCATCTTAACCCCTTGTGCCACCAGGGAGGCCCCCTTTGTTCATTTTAAATACTAGCACCAATCTTAGCATATGTCCCAGCAAGAGGTATCATGTTAAGAGTTAGCTCTTTCCTCTTTGCCATCTCTCTAGTGTGTGTGCTTCTGTTGGTGGTGGTAACAAGCTGTCTTGCAATTTGTTCATTACATGTGTTTCTCCTTTTATAACTCCTGAATTTTTGAAAATAGATTGTGCCTTTGAACTCTTTTTACCCAGAGTCTAGCACAGTGTGACTTATACCACATCCATGTTTATTGAGTGAATTCTTTTGCTAAAAAAAAACCAACCCCACACAAAACCTTCATGTAAAAATGACCTAATATTAAGAATTTTGGATGTTGCCATGAGTTATCTCTTAAGGGAGTATCCCACTTGAGGTATACCCTTCAATTTCCCTCTAAGGCCTTTCTTTTACACTGGCCACACATGATAAAAGATAAATCAAGAATCTGTATCCCTGGGACTTCTGTATCTGAGGGAGCCCTTTTCAGTTTAAGTAAATCAATACTATTTCTTTTTTTGTTTGTTTGTTTTTTTGTTTTACTTATACATGCACTGGGTACAGTCAGAAGCACGGGAGGGTGAGAGAATTCACCAGAGCCAGAGCGGGGAGCAGAGCAGGCAGAAGGACCGAAGCACACTGCTGAGGGGAGCAGCGGGCGGCAGGAGAGGTCTGCGCACCATGTGGGACCCTCCTCCGGTGGCCGGGGAGCAACCGGGGATCGAACCGGCGTCTCGGGCGCGGGCAGCTTCGCAACCCAGCGCTCAACCGCTGCGCCACCGGGGAGGCCCACAATACTATTTCTTTTCTACTACATTTTCTACTCTAATGTAACATTTTGATGTTACTAAATATGGAAATAGTTTGAAATGCAAAAGTACTTTGAAAAAGAATTAATAAAAACACATTAGAAAATATTTAACAACAAAATCAAAATATCCTTTATAAAATCATGTTTGAAAGGGAAGATACAATCAAGATGCAGATTGGTCTCAAAGGATGAAACATTTAACTGGAACAAAGAAGATGAAATTTAAAGGAAAGAAATATAAAGTTTTAGATTTAAATGCAGAGAATAAATTACAAATATATAAAATGGGGCACTCATTTTGGTGTCAGTGAATTTTAATTTACTCCAAACTTTATATGATTACTGTGATTCTACCACTCAAAAAATTTATCATTTGATAATATTACTAAAATATAGCATCCAGACACTTGGACATAATAGTATCAATATAGTACATATCAATTAGACCATGTTTCATGTACTCATACAGACCTGTGTGCAGCACCTGAAAAGATATATTGACAAACTGGGAACTGTTCAAAATTGTCTAGCCACATGTTGAGTGGTCTGTATTAACTAGATGACAGGAGGATGGCTGGGTTAAGAATATGCTAAGGGGAATCATAAGAGCTTTCTTCACATATTTGACAAGCTCTCAGGAGGGACTAAACACATGCCATTTCAGAAACCTGACTGAACATCAAGGAAGAGAGATTTCTATGTAGGGCACTTGTCTACAATAGAATGCAAGGATTTTTCAACAGAAACTGTCTCTTAAAGTAATGAACTTTGTTCCTACAAGTATTCGGGTAAAGACCAGGTCATAATCTGTCAGGGATACCATGGAAAGGATTCTTGAATTGGGTGGGAGCAGAATTTGGCTCCCAATTTTTAATTCTGTGATTCTTTGTTTTCTTTCTTTCTTTTTTTTTCCATAGTCCAGAAGTCTTTCCACCTCCACCCACCCTCATCCCCACCCCCCTACCTCTGGCCACACACAAACCCATCATGCCATAAATTCATAGGGAATGGGCTCCAGCAACTCAGGCACCCAAGTACCTTTCTCTTTGGCTCCCTTTTTTCCTGATCATTTTCTTTCACACTCTCCAGCTCTGGCAGTGCCTAATGTGCTCAGTACACTAATTCTCTTTGCAAGAAACTTGCCATTATTTGTTTATAACAATGCCAACTGCATGCTGTATAACATTATAGACTCTTAGTTTTGCCATGGTAACATTTGTGGGACATTCCT